TTGCCTACTCTTCCCCCACCGCCACCCTGTCCTCTCCCCTCGCCATTGCTCTGTGTGCATAACTGGACATTCTTTTTACTATTTGTTGAATAAAATATTTCTCTTATTCCTACTTTATAAAGTGGTCAGGTAACATTCACACACTGGGTTGGGGATATAAATGGGTTGGCAATATGCCATATTGTCAAATATTTTAGAATGTTTATGCTCTCTGAAATCCCTTTTACAGGAATTTACCTTGATGGATAAATCAAGTGTGTAAAAGTTATATCTACAAAGTGGTTCACCTCATGTTTTAACAGTGAAAATGGGAAACGGTCTTAACATTCATCAGTAGGAATCAGAAAAGTGCATCGTAATCCATAAATACCTGCCATGCAGTCGTCAAAGGGAATGCGTGTGTGGCACCAAGCATGGCCCTGCTGTGCGGCCCGTGGGGAAGCAGGGTGAAAACTGCCATAGAATCTGGCCTTTACTTTTAAAAGGTATATTTCTCTCTAGTCATATTCATATCTCAGTGTCTACATGTGAATGAAGTAGTCTGCAAGGATATATATCACAATATTAAGAGTGATGATCTCATGATGATTTCACTTTTCTCTTAGTATTTGTATTTTCCGATTTATTTGGTAATATACATTTTAAGCATTTAATGAAAAAAATCGGTGAAACTATGTTCACTTTGGAAAGAAGAGGTGAGGGAAAATTTTCTAATTCTCTACCCTCTCAAATTACGAAGCCTCTTCTTACTCATGATCATTTAGGTTCATGTGCCTCTGGTTCCCCTCCCTCTCATATGAGCCCTGAAAAGTCCACGTCTCTCTTGCAAACATATCCTCAGGCTGGGGAACACCATTAACACCCGAGAGGGGCTTGGCTGCCCCAAATGTCTGTTACGAGGAATGTGAGTGAATGTGGAACAAGGCTTCTTTGGCCAAGTCTGTTGGGGAAATGTTGAATAAACAGGCTTTCTACTGCAGGACTTGTCAGAGCCTTTCACTGAAACTCCCTATGAGCAGGACAGAGCAATAACATTTCCCAAACCACAGGCACACAAGACCCTTGTCCATGGCCCACTTCAGGCCACCTTCCGAGAGGCAGAATGGAGACGGCATCGCTTGGGCCTCTGCAACGCCCTTCTTGGAACTTGGGTGGCTCCCGCCACCCGTGTCACTCAGCTGGGACTCATCTCCCTGCCATTAGGCCGTCAGCCCCTGACAAGTAGGCACTGAGCTGTCTTCTCATTTCCTGCTCCCCACCCTGTCCCTCCTAGGCCCACAGTGCCACAGGGAGCTTGGAGGTGGGGGGCTGGGGGGAGCATAACGAAAGGGCTTCATCCTCTGTCGTCCCACACAGCAGCGAGCCGTGCCTGGCCCCTGGGAGAGGCCTCAGGCCCGCTGCGGAGCTCAGCACCCTCGGAGGAAGGAGGTTCTGACTGAGGGGCCGGTCTGGGGAGGGCTGTCCCTGTGGGAGGGGAAGACGGGCAGAGGGTCTGTGAATCAGATATATGTCTTCCCTGTCCCTTCTTGGGGTGGAAGCTCAGGGAGCAACAGAAGCCTGCATTGGTGTGGGGATCTCAAGAGCTTGAGTGTGTGTGGTGGGGTGAGTGCAGGCGTGGTGTCGAGGCTGCGAGCCCAGAGGGGGCTGTGTTCACGAGCTACAGGGCGACCAAGCCCGGGAGGAGGGGAGGCAGCCCTCCCTGCTGTCTAGAGCATGCGAGGCCCAATGAGGGCCTCAGAAAGACCTGGGGACAGGACGGGGCAGGATGGTGCGCAGGTGGAGGCAAGGGCGTGGCCAGGTCAGCAGCTGTAGGGGCCCTTGGGCCAAAGGCTGGGGCCCAGTCAGGCACTGCGGTAGAGACCAGTGTGGGGTTAGCCCTCGGACCCCAGATGCCAACCCAAGAGGAGGGACTGTGGAATGGGCCTGTGATAGGAAGCTGAACTGAGGGGACTGGTTAAATTCAGAGAGACTGAGCTTTGCTAACTGGTAAGTTAAAGTTCCTATTTCCTAGTGGGTGGGGTGCTCATGGGCATGGCCTCTACCACTAGACCCCCAACCCCCACAGGAAAGTCCGGCTCTATGGACGCTGACCTTGGCATGGGTGGCAGTGACGAGACTGGCCCACTGCTCTGGGGGCTTGGTCTTGTACAGCTTGGATGGGATGCAGCTGGGCAGCAGCTCCTGGACGGCCTCTCTCCGCACCGAGGCTCCGAGCTGCACGTAGCAGTGCCTGGCCAGCAGCTCCACCAGCTCCTCCTCCTGTGCAGCCCAGGGCAGACAGAGGCAAGGGCGAGTGAGCGCCCCAGCGCTCGTCTCAGCCCCGCAGAGATGACTGACCCTCAGGCCAGAACCAGTCCTGACCCTCCTCTAGGAGAGCCTGTCCCTGTCCCCACTCAGCAGGTGGGCTCACCCTGTACCTGCTGGGCCCGAATTCCCATGTTCCTCTGCCAGCCCTCAGGGAACCACGCAGAGGTGGAAGCCTGGGCGGACCCCGACATAACAACTGGGGTGAATGTGGGCAATGCCTCTACCCTGTCTTACCCAGTCCTCACCTGTCACAGGTGACCAGTGGCCACCTTGAGGGGCTTCTGGTGGGGTCTGTGTGAGACCCAGACTAGGCTCTTTGCTCAGGGGCCCTGAGGAGTCAAGTCACCCTGTTCTCTTGAGACCAAAACCCTGCAGCTGCCTGCCCCTGGGCCTGTCCCTGCCCGACTCTCCCTGCAGGCTGCCAGGACTTCCGCAGCTCTGGTCCTGAGAGCACCCTCCTCCTCACTCGGGCCCAGGGGGGCTGTGCCTGCTGCACTGGCGCTCTGTGCTCTGGCGCTCCAGGTGCACACGCCCCCCTCAATCCTCGCCTCCGTGGGAAGCTCAGGCCACCCTCTGCACTTCTAGACGAGGGCTGAGGCTCAGAGGTGATATATAAATCCCGGAAGAGGCACAGTGAGGGCTTCAACTAGCGCTAGAACCCCAAGGCCACATCCTCGGCACCAGGCCCTGCTGCCCCACAAACAGCTGCCATCAGGGAGGCCCAGTGGACCTGGGGCCGATGAAAGGCTTTCCTGACGACTGCCCTACATGGAGCCCAGAGACCTGAGCAAACCCGCGCTCTGGGGAGGCCATGGAGGCCGGGTGGCAAGGGGCAGCTGCAGCCCCAACAGAGGAGCCTGGGGCCTGCATTCCCTGCACAGGCGCCCTGGTCCCGAGCCTCTGCCTCTGCAGCCCCCCCCCGAGGCCTGCCCGCAAGGCTGTGGGGGGTCAATCCCAGGCCCCGACGGCAGTGGTGGCCCCTCACCTTCTCGAAGCTGTACTCGCCGGACCAGACTCCATGGAGGACTTGGCGGTAAATGAGCTCAGTGCTGACAGCATCCTCGTGGGGGTCATGCCAGGGGGTAAAGAACTCTTTCCGGAAGTAGAGGCGCCAGGGTGACTGGCGCTCACTTTCACCCCTCTCCCGGGCCAGCTGCTCACACTGGCCAATGGCATCCATTACGTGGTCACGCCCACTGCCCAAGGACCAGAACTGCAGGGCAACAGGGATTAGGACTGCTGTACAGGCCCCATGGGGATGCCCACTCTCAGCACATGCCTGTGAAGGCGTGCTCGGCCACCCGCTGCGGGTTCCTAGGGGACAGGAGCCCATCTGGACACCATGGGGTCTCTCCACACGGGGGCATGGCTAGTCTATCACTCCCACACTCCTCCCTACTGCCCCTCCCAAGGGAGGCAGGGACTGATGCCACAGCGCCGTGAATGGGGTGGTGCACTGAGCAGCTGGTGGGCGTGAGTGAGGCTGAGGCTGTGGGCACCAGGGTGGGTGAGGATGTGGGTCAGGTGGGGCTGGGCCGTGTGGCCCTCCACATCTGCTGCAAGGGCGAGTGCTGCTCCCAGTATGAGGGGTGGGTGGGACATGTGAGCGCCTGGTGGACGGTGTGTGGGTGGGCTGCTCCGATGTGTGCATGACACTGGGGCTAAGGCGAGTCATGGGGCTGAGAATGTGAGTGGACAGGAGGACAGGATACCTGGTGATGAAGCATTTTGTGAGTGACTGTGTGTGAGAAAGTATATGCATGTGTATGTGTGAATGCGTGTGTGTGTATGAGTGACCGTGTGTGTATGTTTATCTGTGAATGGATGTATGTGTGTGAAAGTGTGTGTGCATGTGTGTATATGTGTATATGTGTCTCTGTGTGTTTGTGTGAGAGTGTATGTGTGTGTATGTGTGAGTGTGTATGTGTAAGTGTGTGTGTGTCCCTGTATGTGTGAGTGTGTATGTGTATCTGTGTGTGTGTGAGTGTATGTGTAAATGTATGTGTATCTGTGTGTGCATGTGTGTGTACATGTGTCTCTGTGTGTGTGCATGTGAGAGTGTGTGTGTTTGTATGTGTGAGAGAGAGGGTGTGTGTATGTGTGTGTGTATGTGTGTGTATGTGTATCTGTGAGTGTGTGCATGTGTGTGTACATGTGTCTGTGTGTGTGCATGTGTGACTGTATGTATCTGTGAGGGTGTGTGAGTGTGTAAGTGTGTGTGTACATCTGTTTGGCCACTGGGAGGGAGAGCAGAGGCCAGGTTGGTGCTGTTCAAGGGCTTGAGCTGCCTGGGAGTGTGCAGGAGGCAGAGGATGGATGGGACCCTGGCCAGTACCTTGTCGTACACAGCAACTTGGAGGGAAAAGCCCAGGTGGTCACTGAGGCCTTGCTTGCGGGCAATGTGCAGGCAGACTTCCTGCGACGTTGAGGCTGAGTCCACTGTGACAGTTAGGCTCTCTCCAGTCACCAAGATGACATGGATTGGGATGTGTTTCTTGGACTTGACAGCCTGAGGAAAGACGAAGACTCAGTCCCTCTGTTCCAGAGACCCCTGGGCTCAGTTGCCTGCCCTGGAGCTTCCAGAACCCTGGTCCCAGAGTCTGGCCTACTCTCTCCTTCTCTCCCCAAAGTTCTGGCCCACAGATGTTGGCTGCTGGGGCGTTTCTCGGCATGCTTCTGCACGTTTCTCGGCAGTCCTTGGGGTACAGCCTGCAGGCAGAGGCCCCCTAACATGAGAACAGAGCTCTGGGGGGTTGAGTAACTGAGAATCACAGAGGCTCAGAAGAGCTCTTGGAGGTTGCCCAGTCCTGGACTCTGGAACATTTTATATACATGGGAACTACAGTTTCCTCTGTACACAACAGGGTGTAAGCATGCCTGCTACAAGTTCATGTGCAATCCAGAGCTCGTGAGCCAAGCAGGTAGATGAGGGAGAAGCAGACTTGGGTGGCAGGGCGAGAATGGGAGGGGTGTGGCAGGTGACCCCAGTATAGTGCACCCCGGGACCAGGGCATGAGGGCCTTCCAGGAGCCATGAGTATAGCAAGATGCAGGGGCACCCCCTCAGCCCCACCTGTGTCTGAACACCCTTCCTGAGAACACTGAGAACTCAAGGTGACACCTAGTAATGCCACCAAGTACAACAACCTTGGAATGACCACTGCTTTCTTTATAAAGTGGATAATATCCTTGGGAAGGGTAACATTTTAAGCAATTAGCAGTCACTCATGCTTGAATGCTAAGTAGTTTATCAGATTAATTTTCCCCGTTAGGTAGTAGGGCCCAAAAGGGGTGTGGACTGACAAGTGGGGAGGCACTTGAAGCCCAGGCTTCGCCAAGGGAGGCTGAGCCTTGACAGTGATCACAGGGACCACTGGCACAGAAGGTTCCCCAAGTGGGTGGAGGAGCCCCAAGGAAACACTTCCTGCTAGTAGGACAAAAGAAGGCACCCTAAAATCTGTGCTGGAGGAGCCAAGAGAGCTGGTGCTACCCCACCCAGACCATCTCCCACTCCAGCTGGCCCCTACCTGCAGCTCCAGCCAAGTGGGGGGCTCCGTGCGTACCCCATTGGCATAAGTGCGTCTCAGGCGCTCAGCACAGAAGGGCCCGTAGCCGGCTGGCCCTTCACCAATGAAGCTCAGCAGGTACTGGTGGGTGAGGGAGGGAAAGGAAGCAAGACACTCCGGGTGAGGCCTCCGTCTGCTTACCGCCAAGAGGGTTCTGAGGCGCAGTATCCACTCTCACTGAGGCGATGACGTCAGCCTACTGTGTGACCACTTTGCAATATGTACCTATCAAGCCGCTCAGCTGTACACCTTACACTTATGTACCAGTTTTATCTCAATAAAGCTGGAAAAAATTTTTAATTTTAAAATAATAATACTCACTGTTGGCAAAGTGTGTTCTTATATGAGAAGGAATATAAATAGGACGACATTTCTTAGGATCAACTTGTCAATGTTTTAAATAGTACATAGTATTAAAATGTGCACACTCTTTAACCCAGTAATTCAGACCTATCCTAAAGGCAAATATAGATATATTTTTAATCCTCACTGAGGACATGCTTAGAGAGAGGGAGGGAGGGAGGCGGAGAGAGAAAGAGAAAGAAAATCATCAATGTGAGAGAGAAACATTGATCGATGGGCTTCTGCATGCACCCCGACTGGGATGGAACCCCCAACCCAGGCATGTGCCCTGACAGAGTGAACGGCAACCTCTTGGTGTGCAGAACGATGCTCAGCCAGCTGAGCCACACCGGCAGTGGTGGTGTTTATGGTGATAAACAATTGGAAGGTGGACTCCAAATGTCTATCCACAAGTTAAATACTCTCCAGGACATCTATATGTGAGTGGTGTTAAAGCTGGCATTTGGGGAAAGTTATAACACGAAAAGAAACTTGTGGAGACAAGTGAAAAATACAGGAGAGTTGATGTTCAAAATATGTTTGATAAAATGTGTTGAAAATCTTTTCATTTCATAGAGAGACTTTGTGAGGAGATGCAGCGGAAGGATTTACTGGTGTCAGGAGTGGCCCCAGTGCCAGGGAAGATGGCTGGGAGACCATGCTTCCTGCTGTCCTCAAAGGGACATGAGAGAAAGTGAGGTTGTTTTCTGTATGGCCATGAGTATGACATTATAACACCACAAAAGGCCAAAAATAGTAACAAAAGTTACCTCTGGGTGTTGGGATGCCTTTTAAACTTTCTGCCTTTCCTACATATTACTCTTATGATAAGAACCAAAAGGCATATTAAAGCAGCGAAGCCTAGAGAACCTCTAACGCTGCACCTGTCCATATGCCACCTCCATTTTTAGTTCAAGAGACTAGAGAGAGATGCTTCAGCCAACCTCCAGTCAGTGCCCACTCCTGGGACACATTCCATCTACCATCTCACCACCTCCTCAGAAGAGCCATCCTGGTGCCTGAGACCAAGTGAACTGCAGGCCCTGAATAGGGGTTGGAAAACCCAGGCCCAGTGTCCTCTTTTACAGAAAGGGAAACTGAGGCCCAGATAAGCATGGGCACTGCTGTCCATCATGGCCAGTAGAAGAACTGGGCCATAAAGGATTTCTGGACCTGCTCCATGGTCCAGAGCCAACCCATCCTTCCACGGACCCTGTCCCCACCAACCCCCGGACCTAGCCCCTGCCTTGGGCCCTCCCCACCTTCATGAATCTCTTGGAGGGCGGGAAACAGCCCAAACAGAGGCTGAGCAGGATCCAGCCCCGGGCCAGGCTGCTTGTTTTGAAGTTCTCTGACAGCTGCTTGCAGATCTGGCAGTAAATCTCGTCCCTGAAAGACAGAGACCACCAGGCTGTAGGCTGGCTCTGAGAAGAAGGGACAGGTGACTGGGTACACAGCTCCTTCTATACATCCTAAATGCAGTCATGTCCAAGGGGCAACCTCCAGCTTCCTCACCTCCAATTGTCTTTGCTGGCTTCCCCGGCTGCATCCCTCACAGGCCCGACCCGGTCATCTCCCAAGACTGTGCCACCTCCAGTATCCGCCCAGCTCTGTGCCCGCACTCCCACCAGCACTCATGTCCTTAGCCTTTGTTCTCCTGCCAGTCATCTCATTCCCTCAGGCCTTTGCTGCCTACCTCATCCACTCTGCCCACAACACCCTGGCCCTCCAGTGTGGGGCCTGGATGCAGGGAGAGCCCAGGGGCCTCCAGCCACAGCCCTGACCTCTTCAGCCTAGACTTTTGCATGACCTGATCTGCTCCTTTCTCCAACTTCACAGTTATTTCACACCTTCTCTTTCTGCCTTGAAGTCCTCCCCTTTCCCTGAACACAGCTACCCCACCACCACTACAGAGAAAAAAGTGAGGACTTCATATGAAAACCTCTCAACTCCTCACCTCCTGATCAGTTCCCACTCCCACGTCTCATGAGCCTCTCCTCTCTGTCGTCTCTTGGGGAAGAGACTCTCCTGGATTCTTCCCCATTTTATCAAGCCTCTATTATCTTATTAAACTGTCCCACTACCCTTCCAACCTCACATATCCAGAGGCCAGCGTTTTTCCCCTAAAACTCAGTGGTGTGCTGGTGTTTAACAACCAACTCTCCTGGGGTGGGGTAGGGGGGAGCCCTGATTCATTCATTCCGTTTGCCAATTTCTGTGGTGGACATATTCCCATCAGTGCCAATTTCAAGCTACCAACCTGATGTCACTGAACAGAGTTGGGAAGAGATGTGCCACATCTACTCTCATGGCTTAGTAAACTCAGCTACCGTACACCTCTTTCTCAAGTCTCCAAAGGCCACACCATCAACCATTCACCCAATTAGAAATCTGGAAGCCATCTTAGACTCTTCCCATCAGCCACCACATCCTACTGTCTGTCTCCTGGATGTTTTCTCTGTACCCTCGCCCCCTTAACTCCTGCTCCCTGGGCTATCTTTCATCAGTTCTCTGCCTCTGTAGCAGCCTTCTCCTGGCCTCCAACTCCCAAGCTCTGTCTCTCCATGTCATTGCCAGGGAGAACTTTCTGGAAGTCAAATATGGTCATGGACTTCCTTACTTAAAACTTCTCCTTACTACCCTTATGATTAAATTCAAACTCAATTCCAAGTTGTGATAAACAAACCCTTGAGCTGTTTCAGAACTCTCTGACCCTGTTTACCATCTCCCTTCTCTCTGGTGAAACATTCTTCCTCCTTCTCACAGACCCCTGGCCCAGGAGGGTATTACAACTACTTCTTGGTAGGGCCCTCTGGACCCCTATCTTAGCACAAGCAGTTTTTGTGGGTCCCTGGGTCTTCCCATGCTCAACTAAGGGGTGACTCCTTGAGGACAGAGACATGTCATTTTCATCTTTGCATCTCCAGTCCTGAGTCCAGGTCCTGTCCCTGAGCAGGTACTTATAAACATTTATAGAATGTGTATCTGGGAGTGGGTGGAGCACTAGTTTTGTTTTGGAATTTGGCTAAGACCTCAGAGCCAAAAACAAGCAGATGATAATATTCAACATTCTAAAGAGGGATATTCTTATAGGATCTACTAAAAGATGGCAGAACCAGTTCAGCCACCATGCCATCTCCAGCCTGCATAAGTGAAGATGAGAAATGTAAAAGGCTATTCCTGGAAAGGACTTCATAGGAGTAGAGGGATCTTTGGCCTATTTCCACTCGTTCCAAATGAGGGGGTGTAAGGGGGACCCCTGGAGATTGCCAGATGGAGGCTTTCTGCCAGAGACAAGACCCATCTCACTCCCCATTTGAGGCATGCTGAGCCCCAGAAGCCCATTGGCTCACTCCAGGATACTGGAATAAAGCAGTGACAGAGTGCCTGAGAGTGCTTGACACTTGTCCCCTAGAGACACAAGTGGAGGCATTCATGAACAAAGAAACTAGAGTCTGCTTCCTCCTGGAGAATTATAAGCTACCTTTGATGGCCAAGATGAAAAGAGAACAGTCAGAAGTTAGGAATGTCATTGAAGGGGTTGAGCTTCAGAAGATGGCAGCAGTAAGAGGCTGGGGTGTGTTTCATTAGGGGATAGAGTTGGCAGGGGTCTCAAAGGATAACTGAGAGACTGTCAGCCACCTCTTGAGACCAGCACTGTATAAAAGTATCTATAGGGTTATCTGACAAACCCACAGTGCATCTCACTTGGACACAGATTCTACATGTCTGCCATACTGGAGGGTGTGGTAGCCAGTGAAGAGTAACAATGAGAGAACTACCAATAGAACCAACTAAAAAGAGTTGCCTGGTTGGTATCACTCAGGCAACTAAAACTTGAGTAGAAACCCTGAGGTCTTACTAGCTTGAAGAACCAGAGGACAGATTTTTGGGGTACCCACAATAGTTGAAATAGAGAAGGGAAATCCTTGAATGAAGAGAAAAATCGAAAAGGAGTCCTAGTTTGGTGCTGATGGACTCCTTTAGCTTTTTCTTGTCTGGGAAGCTCTTTATCTGTCCTTTAATTCTAAATGATAGCTTTGCTGGGTAGAGTAATCCTGACTATAGGTCCTTGCTTTTCATCACTCAAGAATTCAAACATTCAAGAATATTTGAATATTTCTTGCCAATCTCTTCTGGCCTGCAAAGTTTGTTGAGAAATCAGCTGACAGTCTTATGGGAGCTCCCTTGTAGGTAACTAACTTTTTCTCTTGCTGCCTTTAAGATTCTCTCTTTGTCTTTTTGTTGTTGTTAATCCTCACCCAAGGATAATTTTTCTATTGATATTTTATAGAGAGAGTGGGGGAAGGGGGAAAAGAGAGAAAAACATCAATGTGAGAGAGACACACTGGTTGCCTCCCATGTGTGCCCTGATCAGGGTCAGGGAATGAACCTGCAATCCAGGTATGTGCCCTTGACCAGGAACTGAACCCGCAGCCCTTTGGTCCACAGGCTGATGCTCTAACCAGTAAGCCATGCCGGCCAGGGTTCTCTTTGTCTTTAAACTTTGGCATTGTAATTATGATGTGTCTTGCATGGGCCTCTTTGGGTCCATCTTGTTTGGGACTCTCTGCACTTCCTGGACTTGTGTGTCTTTCTTTTTCATCAGGTTAGGGAAGTTTTCAGTCATTATTTCTTCAAATAGACTCTAATTTTTTAATTCTTTTTGCTGTTCTGATTGGGTGTTTTCTTCTACCTTGTCTTCCAAATCATTGATTCAACCTTCTACTTCATCCAATCTGCTATTGATTCCTTCTAGCGTATTCCTCATTTCGTTATTCTATTCTTCATTTTTGGCTGGTTCTTTTTAATAGTTTCTATGTCCTTTTTATGCTGTTGAAGTTCTCACTAAGTACCTTGAGCATCCTTATAACCACTGTTTTGAGTTCTCTATCTGGTAGTTTGTTTGCCTCCATTTCATTTAGTTCTTTTTCTGGAGATTTCTCCTGTTCTTTCATTTGGGACATGTTTTTTTATCTCCCCATTTTGGCTGCCCCTCTCTGTGTTTGTTTCTATGTTTCTATGTGTGCTGGTTCTATGTATTAGAGCTGCTACGTCTCCCAGTCTTGGTAGAGTGGCCTTATGTAGTAAGTGTCTTGTAGGGTCCAGGAGCTCAGCCTCCTTAGTCACCTGATCTGTGCATGACACGTGCAACCTGCTTGTGAGCTGTGTGCACTGTTCTGTTGTAGTTGAGCCTTAATTGCTGTTCATTCATCAATGGGAAAGATTGATAATCCAGGCCCATTGGCTACTACACCAGCCATGACTACAGTGGAGGAGCTGCTGTGCAGAGGCCAACCCCATGGATGAGAACCCACTTTAGCAGGGCTCTCCTTAAGTCTGCTTAAGTCACTAATGGAGGTGGTTGGATGGTGCTCTGGCATGGTCTGAAGCTGGCTGCTGAGTGTGCTGGTTCTAGGGCCTCCTGAGATGTGCTGCCCAAGGTTAGCTGCCTCCTATACCTTGCATGGGGCCACCTGGCATAACCTACAAAGTGATCTGCAGATAGCTGCTACTTGTGCTGGCCTTGGAAGTACCCAAAAGAGGCCAAGCTGCAAAGTGAGTTCAGATGTGACTAGTGCCAGACCTGGGGCCACTTAGCAAGAGGTATGGGGTTCACTGAGGCCAGATGCTGCTTATTTGGGGTTTGTGAACATTTGAGAGAATTTAGGAAAGTCCCCAGCATGAGCCAAGACAACCTGTTTGTATGGAAAAGTCACTGGGAGTGGCTTGGGTGGGCCCACAAGTTGGGTACAGCAGAGTCTCAGGGAATTACCAGGGCATGGCAAATGGTGTTAGTAAGGTTGATGGAGACTCAGATATGGTGCCTGTCTGTGCCTACAGGGGAAAGCTCAGCAAAAGAACAATGGCCTCTGCCAGCACTTCTGTCTGAGAGAAAGCTGCCCCTCTAGCCCTCACCCCAAAGTCAGACACTTTAGTTCCTCCCTGTATGTACCTGGTACCTATCAAGCTGCTACCTCAGTGCTGGAGCTCAGAGAGAGTGAGTTCAAGTAAGTTCATGTGCTGGGACTCCAGCAGCCTCCGTCTCACTCAGCCACAGTCCCCGCTGGTTTTTACAGCCAGAAGTTATGGGGACCTCTCTTCCTGACACTGGAACCCTGGGCTGGGGTTGCTAGTGTGGGGCTGGGATTCCTTGCTCCTCAGGAGGACCTCTGCAGCTGAGATATTTCTCCCAATTTTTATCTGCCACTCATAGGTGTCGTGCCAGCCTGTGACACGTCTTGGCCTCTCCTATCAGTCTTGATGTGGCTTCTTCTGTATATACTTAGCTACAGGACTTATGTTCAGCTGCATTTCAGGTGATTCTCAATGATGGCTGTTTTGTAATTTAGTTATTTTGATGTGGTTGTAGCAGGAGGCAAATACAGTGTTTACCTATCTGCCATCTTGACTGGAAGCCAGAAAAGGTTTTAAACTACTGTAAGTATGCTCAAGAACATAAAGAAAACTATGTTCTTAGTGCATGAACAAATAGGAAATCTTCATTGAGAAAGAGAAACAATTAAAAAAAGACAAGTGTAAACTCTAGAACTGAAAAGTATAGTATCTGAAATTAAAAAATTACTAGATGGATGTAATGGCAGATTGTGGAAGACAAGAGAAAGATTAGTTAATGTGAAGACAGATCAATAGAAACTATCCAATCTAAAGAATAGAGAGAAAAGAATAAAAAAGAAAGAGAAGAGGAATTGACCCACAGGGACCCAAGGGGCAGCACAAAAAAGCCCTAGAGAGAGAGAATGAAGTAGAAGAAAAGTTTGATGAAATAATGGCCAACATTTTCTTAGATTTGGTTTAAAATAACCTAAAATATGTGAACTCCTAAAACACAATAGTCTATCCATGAAAGCAGTACGCATATTTCTTAAAATTTGCTTGAAAACACAATTCCTAGAAATAAAATTGTATATAAAGCAAAAATATATACAAGTGAGGAACTTGCTCATTTATAAAATCCTGCATTGTAGCCTGTTATGAAATGAATCACTAGCCCAAGATGAATCTGTTTTCCTAAAACCGGTTTCACCCATGGGCTTTACCTCAAGAGCAAGTAAAGAGCCCTGATGGTTATGATATTTGCAGTACTGAGACCCAGTCTGCAGGTCCTGGGACAGGGAGCAGAGGAGGAGAGGTTGTGGCTATGGGTTGAGAGGCAGTGAGGGGGTCTAAAGTTCTGAATGGGGGTGAGGTGCGAGTGGGGACTGACCTGAGGTTGGGCTGCAAGATGGCATAGCTCACAATAAGGTGCACCTTCTCCAGGTTGGACATGGGTCGGTCTGAGATGGAGCCATCAGACTCAAATGCCTCCTCTCCAATGTTCAGTTGGCTCGCCACCTTGAAATCCAAAGAGAATAATCAGGAGAGCTGTGATTCTCTCCATTTGCAAAGAAGGAAATCTGGGCTCGAGGGAAAGGGGAAAGCAAAAGCCTGAACCCTGTGGGTGGCAGAGCTGGGAGCTCCTGGCCCTGAGCTCACCTGGCCTGTGATGTGGGAGGAACGCTTCAGTTTCATGGAAGAGATGTCCTTGGTCCTTCTGTCCCTGAGGCTTGGTCTCTGTGGATGGAGATAGTTTGTGAGTGAAGGTGAACTTGGGCAGCACCTCAGTGGAGCAAGTGTCCATCTCTCCAGCCATTTCCTACTCAATTTACAAAGCACCATACAGCCCCTCGTCTTGGCTGAGTTCTGCAACATTTACAGGTGCACAGCAGCAACTTCATTCCTGGGAGACAAGGGAAGGCCAGAGATGAAGGACTGGGTTCCAGTTAAGATCAGCCCAGTTCCCAGGGCTAGGCACCAGCTTCTGGCTGGGGAAGCTGGTTTGCCACAGAGGCAAAACATGACACACATTAGTTGTCCTTATTTACAGATGACATTCTTGTCTACATAGAAAATTCCAAGAAATCTATACAAAGCCAGTCAGCAATGCTGCAAGATACAAAGTCAACACACAAATTATATTTTCTATCTAGCAATGAAATAGTCAATGCCAAAAGTAAAAATATAGTGCTATTTAGCCCTGGCTGGTGTAGCTCAATTGGTTGGAGTTACAACTATAAACCAAAAGGTTTATAAACCTATAAACCAAAGGTATATAAACCTATAAACCAAAAGGTGGTGGGTTCGATTCCCAGTCAGATCACATACCCAGGTTTCAGATTCAATCCCCAGTTGAACCTAAATGTATGGGAGGCAATCAATTGATGCCCCTCCCCACTTAAATATATATATATAAATGTATAATATATAAAAACATATAAAACCTTGATATAATTGACTAATTTGGGTGACAGTATCCATTAAAGCCAAAAGTCCATTATATAATAAAGTAGGTTTTCCAAATGTGTATGTTAAAAAATAGACAAATTAACCTGCTTTCACTTATATAGACACATTTGTGTAATTAAAATTAAGTAGGTATGAAAAGTTTAATTTCACAGAAAAGTTTTTTATATGTATTACTGTAATATTAAATTTCTACTGAATAGGTCTAGTAAACGCATGCATTCACCAGTCACCACAAGTAAACAGATGCACAGGCTGGGGTGGGGCTTTAGCACACCTGGGTACATCATCAGGTTCATGTTAAAACTGCTGCAGAAAATCACAAGACAACACGACTGCACATGATATAGTGTGATCATGTGCTAATCATTCCCGAACACTGTTTATGAGTGGTGACTCTTGGATTTTAATATGTAGACTATAGTTGTAAATATGTAATATTTATTTATGTCAGCGAAATGACTACAGTGTTTTTCCAACATATGGCCTGTTTGCTAAAATTTGTTAAAAATAACTGAATTAGGACAAGATAGTGGTGAATTAAGTGGAAGCTACACCAACACTCTCCCAGGACCAAACTAAACACCCTCCCAGGAATTACAACTAAAATATTTAAAAAAACCATCCTGAATAACCAACTGAAGACTAGCTGGAGAGTACCCTCATAACCAAGGACATAAAGTAGAGACCACATAGAGGCTGGTAGGAAGTGCAGAGGCGTGAGAGGGCTGGCCAGGCTCCAGCAGGCAGCAGCTGAAGGTCAAGAAGGATATCTCAGCTGTTGGAGGTTCCCACTGAGAACTCTGGGGCCTAAACCCCAGAGTTCTTCCCAGCCAAGAGCACCAGAACTGAGAAAGGTGCCCACATAACATCTGGCTGTGAAAGGCAGCAGGTTTCTGTCTGCTAGGGAGAGATGGCTGGAAATGCAGGCACCCTCTAAAGGGCCAACACACAAAATTTCATTTGCAGTCACTCACCCTGGGCTCCAGCAGAGGGAGGGCAGAGTGAGGAGAATCCAGGGTTGGGGCCTCTTGGGATAGGGCTCAGATTCCTGTGCTGAGCCAGTCCCCCAGACTGCAAAGGACATCTTTCTCAGGCAGACCTTTACCATCCAGGCAGCTTTTGCCTGGGAGTGGTCCCCCACCCTGTTGGAAAACCTCTCACCCTACCTTGTGGAGTTTATCCTGGCTGTGGTCTAGAGCCTGAAGCTCATTAAGAGACTAACAATCAGCCTGTAGGCAAAGGTGGATCTCTGGATGCTTTGAGTCTTTGCCTGATCTGCTTCTGGACCTAGGGCTTGGAAAAGCAGCCCTTGGTGCACATCTTGGTTCTGTCCTAACATACCCAGCCCCAGCAGAGGTAACCACAAGCTGTGGAGTGCAGAAAGTTTCAAACAGTAGGTACTCAAGGCCAGTCACAAAATGCATCTGACACTGGCTTGTACCAGAGACCATCCAAAAGACTGGAAGTCCTAGCAGATCTACCTAATACATAGAAACAAATTCAAACAGGCAGCCAAAATGGGGAGACAAAAAAACAAGCCCTAAATGAAAGAACAAAAGAATTCTCCAGAAGAAGAGCTAAATGGAAATGGAGATAAGCAATCTATCAGATAGAGAGTTCAGGATACTGATTGTAAGGATGATAAGAAAAAATAGGGAAACTATGAATAAAATTAAGAATGACATAGCAGAAATGAAGAATACATTGGCAGGAATAAACAGCAGATTACAGGAAGCTGAGTATCTGATCCATGAATTAGAAGACAGGGTAGGAAAAAATCACTGAATCAGAGAATCAAAAAGAAAAAGCAATTTTAAAAAAGGACAGTTTAAGGGAGCTGTGGGACAACATGAAACATAACAATATTCACATCATAGGAGTTCCAGAAGGGGAAGAGAATAAGCAAGGGATAGAGAATTTGTCTGAAGTACTGGCAGAAAACTTCCCTAACCTGGTAAAGGAAAAAGTCACACAAGTTCAGGAGGCACAGAGAGTCCCAAGCAAGAACAACCCAAAAAAGCCCACACCCAGGCACATCATAATTAAAATGCCAAAAATTCAAGACAAAAAGAGAATATTAAAGGCAGCAAGAGAAAAACAATCTGTTACCTACAAAGGAGCTCCCATAAGGCTGTCAGATGATTTCTCAACAGAAATTCTACAGGTCAGAAAGCAATGGCATGAAGCATTCAAGGTCAATGGGGAAAAAAGAGGACATCTGTAATGCTTTCAACAATAAAGATAAATTTAAGAAAATAACAATGAATTAATGACAAAAATAACCTGTTAATTTAATTATAAGCAAATCTTGGTTAAAAGGATTTTAAAATTAACAAGGTGTTAATTTTCACATATGACATAGGGACCAGAAATTGTGTCCATTAAATCTGAATTCCATTAAATTGAGGTCCACAAAATCAAAGGTTTACTGCATATATATATATATATATATATATATATATATACATACACACACACACAGCAAATATGTGTAAATCTGACAAAACGTGTAGTGCATGTGTGCTGAAAACTACAAAACACTGGTGAAAGAAATCAAAGAAGATTCAAATAAATGGAGTTCACAGATTGGAAGACTCAGTACAGTAGAGGTGTCAATTCTCCTCAAACTGACATACAACAAAATTCCTATCAAAATACCAGCAAGATTATTTTTATACCTATGGGCAAGATTATTCTAAAATGTACATGGAAAGGCAAGGGACCTAGAATAGCAAAAACAACTTTGAAAAAGAGTAATAGGCAGGAGGAATCAGTTTACACAGCTTTAAGACATTATATACCATCTGGCCAGGTGTGGTTCAGCAGTTGAGCATTGACTTATGATCCAGGAGATCACAGTTCAATTCCTGGTCAAGGCATATGCCCAAGTTGTGGGTTCCATCGCCAGTGGGGGGCATGCCGGAGGCAACCAATCAGTGACTCTCTCTCATCATTGATGTTTCTCTCTCTCTCTTTCTCTCTCTCTCTCTCTCTCCTTTCCTCTCTCTGAACTCAATAAAAACATATATTTTTTTAAAAAGACATTACATACCTATAGCCAATAGGACAGCATGGCACTGGCAGAGGGAAGACACATAGATCAATGGAACAGAACAGAGAACACAGAAATAAACCCACAAATCTGCACAACCAATTCTTGACAAAGGTACAAAATTAATTCATTGAATGAAGAATGGACTTGTTAATAAAAACTTGAGGTCTAACTTCCGGGAAGCCGGTCCTGTTCTTCCCTGTGCTCACCCTCCAGAGATGCATATGGCTGGACTGTCTCTTAGGGCCCCTTCCGAGTGGCTGCCAGCCTCCAAGGTAGCCCTGCCTTCCGCGGTATGTGACTTCCAAGACTAGGCATTACAATGCCTTGTTGGATCACTCCTTCTGGAGGAAATCATACTGTGACAACACCTCGGCAGCTCTGTGGAGAGGCCCATGTGGCAAGGAACTGGGGCTCCTGCCAACAGCCATGGGAGGAGCCTTCCTGGAAGCAGCTCCTCAGTCCAGTGACACCTCGAAATGGCAGCAGCCCGTCGACAGCCTGATTTGCAGCCTCAGGAGACCTCATGCCAGACAGAACCAGCTGAGCCACTCCTAGTCCACAGAAACTATGTACGGTAATAAGTGACTGCTGCTCCAGGCTGCTTAACTCTGGGGGTGATATGTAGCAATAGATAAGGAATATACACGCTGCAGAGCCCACACCTGGGCCACTTCCAGGTAATTCCAGGCCAGTCTGGCCATGTGATCCTGGGCTGTGGTTCCCTTGGTGCTCTCTGCAGTGAGTTGGAACACAGGATGGGGTGTGTGGGGCAGGCATGGGCTCCTGCTGGGGGTGGGCCTGCGTGCCGTTGCTGCTGTGTAATTCCTTTGGGCTGTTCTTGGTTGGTTCAACTAAGATTACATAATGAAACTGAGACCTTAGAAAGGACTGCTGACCAAAAATGAATGTCAATTAACCTTCCATCAGAGGGCAGGTAGAACACCAGTCAAGAGCTTGGTGTTCAGTGGAACGAATTCAAAGTCCAGTTCTGTCACCTGTGTTCACTGTGATTTGGCAGCAACTCACTGCACTTCTGTCTCTTTAGCTACAGTAAACATCATAATCCCTACCCTGCAGGGTTGGCTCCCTGAGAATTCACTGAAGAGAAGCAACTGGCACATAGCACTGTCAGTAACATCTGTTGTTAATATTGTTACATGCATTTGAATTCTGTTCAAGTCAAACCCAATGTTCAGAGGTTGGGACCTTCTCTAGTAATGACCATATAATTCACGAGTTCCTGAGTGCAGTTCAAGACTGGAAACTCCCGGGGTGGGGAGCCCTGGCTCGGGCAGGTTCATGGTGAGGCTGATAAGAGAACTCTATGTCTTGCCTCCTCTGGGGCCTTGGGCCTGGCTCATGCCTAGAGGGTGTCTGCCCTTTCCTGCCACCACCCTCACCCACGCACCTGTGCAGATCCATGCTGTGGAGACTGGGCACTGCTCTCTCTGCCCACAGCGTCCTGGGTCTGCCGCATCACTGAGCTGACACACCGGTTATTCCTGGCAAAGAGCACTGGCTCTGGAAGGTCACCCATGAACCTCAGGATGATGCTCCACACAACCAGGGCAGCCTGGGGAAATTGAGACAGGTCCCAGCTGAAACCCAGCTCGCAGCACACAGAGCTCGTGGTGACCCTGCCCCTTCCTTTTCCTTCTGAACCACAGTGCAGAGTGTGGGCTATGGGGGTGCCTTGAGCCTCTAGAAGCCAGAGAGCTGCTAGGTACCGAGCAGTCGGCATCGTCCTCGTGGTAGAGCAGCGGGTATCGCAGGGGTTTCCGGATATGCGTGTGGCTGGCCGATTTCTGGAAGTACGTTGCAGCAAACTTGGGGAAGCTGTACTCAGCCAGGCCATCCACATCCTCCTCGGGCTCCTCCGCCATGGGGACAGTGTCCAGGTCAACCTCGGGCAGTTTCTGAGTCTTTGTTTCCAGATCCTGGGAGCCCATGAGAAAGAGGAACAACCATCAGCCTTCCTTTCAGAGGCAGGCAACTCTGGGGCCCAGGGAGCCCCCAGAAGGGTGTGTCTGGTTATGTATCTGGTGCAGAGCCATCTGCCCACTCCCCCTTGTGCTCGAGACCTCCCCCACTGTCAGTGGGCCCCTGGTGGACTGCCATGTGAAGGACAGGCCTTGATGTGAACTTCTCAGCTACCTGGGAGCCCTCGGAGCCCCTGGCCAGCAGACATGGGCTCTCTAGACACTCCCTCTGCCAGCCTTCAGTCAGGTGCTCCTGTTGTGGAGGTGGTCTCAGCTGAACAGATGGGGGTGTGCACCGTGTGTGCATGCGTGTGTGCATGTGTGTGGTGAGGGAAAGGCATGAGCACCTGGGGGGATGCCTAGACCACTGGGGTCTTGGGCCCAGAGCAGGGTGTGGAGAGAGTCGGCAGGACCACCTTGGGGAGCTGCTTTTCTCCCACCCTGCCACTGCCCTCAGACTCTGCCTCTTCCTGACAGTGGTCCTCATTCCCAGCATCAGATCCCCAGTCACATTCTGCAGAGCAGCAGCCACGGAGGTGCTCTGTGAGAGGAGGTCACACACAGTGGGGAGAGCTGCCCAATAGTGTTTGCATATAAAAGGTTCTAGAAGTCCTGCAGGTAAGAAATCTGCTTACCTTGAACATGGGAGACCAGGGAGCCCCATTCTCCCCCTTTCTCTGCACACTCACCCTGCCAGCGGCACACACAGCAGCACCCACCCTGCCAGCTCCCCCGTGGAACTTCTGCTTCTTAGTGAACCTAGAGGTCGGCTGAGGTGCGGACTGTGTGGGCCCATCCCAGCCCTGCCCAGCTGGACCCCTGAAGGACAGGGCCTATCTTACCTCAAAGTGAGGTGGGACCTGGCCCTCTTGCCCTCCAATCATGGACGGAAGGAAGCCAAACACTTGCTCCACCATCTCCGTGTCGGTGATGGTGTCGTAGATTGACTTGCGCTTCCCGGTGGCTGGGGCACGCTGGCCCTTCTGCTTCCCAGCCGGGGTGGCCGACAGCCCCTGCGCACACACCATGGGTGGAGGTGACCCACAGGCTCCGCTGGGGCAAGCACCTTACAGAAGCCAGATAAACCTGCTCCTGCCAGCATCTATCCAAATCAATGTATTCTCCTCTGAAACCCTAGATTTCAGTAGCTAGAGTGACTAAAGATCAATTAGCCTGGGTTCTTCACTTCCATTGGAGAATCAGGTCCGGAGAGAGAGGTTGCCTGTTTGTCCCTAGCCCCACATATTCCCTGAGGCACCACCTCAAGCCCAGGACCTCCAGAGCCTTGCTTCAAACCGCAGCTCAAACCTAGCTGGTCCTTTATTCGAAGAGCACCAAGTCTCTGCCAGGAGAGGTCCCTGGGCCATGTTAACACACATGTAGGTGGGCATGGCCTGTGGCCTGCCTGGAGTCACATGGGTGCAGAAGCAGGCTGCTGACATGCCTGAGCGAGTACTCTCTCATTCACTCTGGCCACTGTACTAGTACCTTGCTCAGTATACCCAATTTTCATCTATGGAGAAGGCTAAATTTCATCATAACCCTTCTTCCTTCTCACAATTTTCAGCTGACTGAGGTTTAGCCACAGGTACCCTCTGGGGAAAATGGGATCATGCACTACTCCCCTGCTCCCTGCCCATCAGCCTCTCCTTCCCAGACACTCAAAGGCTTTTCTTGGTACTTCCCTGACCTAAGCTGTCAGGCCACAGCCAGTAACCAGGGGCCTTTGCTGTTTTCCGTGGAACTGGGCCTCCCATAGCTCACCTACCCCTGATTCCTGTGCCTTCCAGACCTACTGTCCCTGCTGAGAAAGTCCTCAAGGCTAAAGGGAGGGGACCCAGAAGCTCCATCTCTAGGTACTAGGTATAAGACTGTCCTGCTGCTGTCACCCAGGGGGTAGCCTTGGCATCCAGATGGCATGGGGGTCTGCTGCAGTAATAACTTTGAACAGGGAGGGGACAGGACTATCTGGTGAGAAGTCAATATTGCTGCTTACTCCTCCTGCCTGTCCTTCCCAGTGGGGCCCCAGCCGGGCCCCACCTGCTCACGAGGGCAGTGACTACCTACATTGGCTTTCTGCTGCCGAAAGTTCCGTCGGGCAGCCATGCCCCTGGCATGTGCCTGGATGACCAACACAGCCCTCCTCTTGGCCTGGACTTGCAGGCGCACCAGGTAGCCCCTGCAGAGGGCCTGCAGCTGGACCATCCTCTGCCGCATGGCCTGGTACTGCCTCGCCAGCAGGTGGCTCCGGGCGATGGCCTGCAGGCGCTCAAAACCCAAGAGGATCTGAGGAGGCAAAAGAGATAGCACTTGGGGGGCTGGGCACAGAGCACAGAGGTGGCCTTTCCAAGAGGCAGAGAGCCGGGTACAGGAGACCTCACAAATTCGCTGTATAGTTATCTGCTTCCAGGCAAAGGGCTGATGCTAAAATTTTACACACCTGTGAGCACAAGCGTGTTAAATGAGTTATTACTTGTAAAGCACTTAGAACAGAGCTGGCATGCAAACAAGTAATTGATAAGTGTTTGTTAAATGGCATTAATAATAAAGTGGTCTTTGGGTGACGTGGTTTGGATGGCAATGAGTGATGGAATTCCAGAGGCCTTGCTTTTCACACCTACAGCCAAACCCAGCCAAGTTCTCAGGAGCTAGCACACCTGTGTGGAGGCCTATGGCTGGTTCCATGAATTAATCCCTCAGGGATATTTAAAAGAAGGAAGAAATAAGAAACTAATGGGTACCCCCGTTGATGCTGCAAACATGCTCTGGGCCACAAAAGTCCCTGCAGCCCCTAGATGAGCCTTGTTGGTTTCTTAAAGGCCATCCATGGGCTGGGTGTGTGGTGTCACATTTCATCTTACAGCTCGGAGGTCACACAGACCTGCATTCAACTCCAGCTCTACTGCTTCCTAGCTCCATGCTTTTGAAACGTTACTTAACCCCTCTACACTTCAGCTCCATGGCACAGAGGGTTGGCTTCATAACAAATAAAAGGATGCGCACAAAGCAACCGCCCCGGCAGCCTTTCCATTCTTGTCAGCTGCTTTTACGCCTTTGTGAGCACAGACCGTGAACAGGACTGGGCTCAGTTCTGCTGATGTGACCACTGCATGGCCCAACCACAGTCACATCCATGACAAAGGCAAGCAGTCAAGTAAGGGCCCAAAAGTGTGGTCAAGGCTGTTCCGGTCCGTTTGCTGAGCAGACACTCATTGGCAGTGTCTGTGGCCAAGAAAAAATTATGAAGTGCTTGAAACAGAGTAACCAGCCCATTAACTTATTTTGTAGCCTGGAAATTGGGAACAATAGTCATTATCCAACTTCAGAAAAGGACATCTCATTCTAGCTATGGAGATGCCCAACATGCTGTGGAGAGCACCGCGAGGCCCACAGGCCACAGCCCTGCGTCGGAGCTGAAAGAGCGTGTGGGGAGTTGGAGTCCAGTTATTTAAAATCTGTTATCAGCATCTGTTAGTGATCTGGTCCTTCCTGCCTGAGCTCCCATGCTCAGATAAACAGACTTTTATCATCTGTGTTTTACTGGACAGTTATCCACTGCTCCTACAGCCCCGTTCCCAGGAAGTTCTACTACCAGCTTGAAGCTCCGCCTGCTGCTGTAGCCTCTCCACCCAGCCTGAAGGGTCACAGCTGCCCGCCGCTGCCTCAGAAACTCCTTCCTGGAAGGAGAAATGCAAGTCAGAGGTGTGCAGCAACTGCATACATTTTAAAGTATGGGGGTAAAAACTGTTTTGAAGGGAATGTTGGGGAAAATAAATCCATACAATAATTCTTTTCTATAAGCCTTTATAAGCCAAAGACAGACATGTTAGGAACTTAAAATCTACTACCAACAACTAAATTTGTGAATGAGGACAGTCCAATTTTTAGAATAATCAAGAACATCTTCATTCACTCCAAAGATCTATGAGGGGATAAAACTTTTCCAACTTTTTATTCCTTGCCAGACTGCCCCTCCTCTGCTCACTAATCCAGGTGTCTGCCAGAAAACAGATCAGAAGGCTCCTCTCTGGGGGCAGATCAAGGCAGGAGGGCAGCTGCCCAGGCCCGGGCAGCCTGGCAAGGTCCATCAAACTGCTCCCCTCGGCAAGGAAGGGAGCAGGCTGAGTATGGAGAGGGTGACCTGAAACTTGGCCTCTTGAGGGGGAGACACCCCAGGGGAGCTTGGTACATATGGATGTATCTTTTATCTCACACTTATCTTAGTTTTCTTATCACTTCTAAGGGTATTTTCTTGGGTTTAGAATAGCAGATCTCAATCGTATTAAAAATCAACTGTAGGGAGTGGGAGGAGAGGGGAATTGGAGGAAGGTACAAACTTCCAGTTCCAAGATAAGTGTGTGTTAGGGATGTGATGTACAACATGATACCACAGCCACAGTGTCACATGGTATAGATGAAAGCCATTAAGAATAAATCCTAAGAGTCCTTATCCCAAGGAAAAAAATTCCTTTTTTTTTTTTTTGGATTTATATATGATGATAGATATTAAACTTATTGTGGTACTCATTTCACGATATGTGTAAGTCAAACTTATACAGTGCTCCATGTCAATTATATCTCAATAAAATTGGAGGAAAAAAGAAAAAAAAAAAAACAAGAAAAATATCATCTGGAGTCTGAATCTTTGTTGATGGGTTTGAAGAATATATATGTGCACATCTGTTGAATGCTTTTCGGTGCATGTACACACACAGATGATTCTAATATAAGGTCAAAGTAAACAACTGAATTATCTAAAAATAACTTGTCTCCTTTCCAACGTACCAGTGGTTTTTCACTGGGGTGATTCTATTGTGCTCCCCAGGCACATCTGGAATGACCAGAGATGCTTTGGCTGCCATGACTGGAGGTGGGGGGGAGGGTGCTGCTAGCATCTGTGAGTAGGGATACTGGCACACATACTACAATGTCCAGGAGAGCCTCCACAACAAAAAGTTACACAATCCAAAATGTCCACAGTGTTGAAGTTGAAAAACCCTGGTTTCTACCTTTTAATTATCTTCTCTCGTTGCATTGGCCATAATAGCAGTAATACCACTAACTACCAATGGGCATCACTTTGGAGAAAATGGAGTAGGCATCCTTTCGCCTATTCCTCCTCCTAGTGACATCTAAAAGCCCTGGGCAGTGTATATGAAGCAAACATAAGAAGACTTTGAAAAGTGGAGAGAAGGTAGAACAGCTATGGACCTGAGAACCAAGGAAGGGCACAGAGGTAACTTTTTTGGCTTTTCTTTCCGCCTCCTACACCCCAGACTAGGAACTGAAGAAATCAGCAATCCAGAAATAGCAATGGCACAGTACAAAAACCCTCTTTCTCTTTCTCTACCAAAAGGATCCAGAAAGAAGCAGGTTAGCAAGACAGAAACTTATAGATAATAACCAGTACACTCCAGCGAAACACCATATAAACAACTGTGGCGCCACATCCCCCTACACAGGACAATGCCAGGTGGGGAGCCTGGACTCTGCCCTCTCCAGTGTCGTGTCAGAGAAGGCTGAGTAGGAACCATCCTTGATGGGCAGTAATGACCCCATCCCCCACATCATCAGTGAAAACCACTGGGGGATCCTGGATCCCCACCACCACTTGGCAGTAATGAGGTGCCCCTTCCCCCCACATTGGAGCGGTGCCCAAGGAATCCTAACGGAGAGTCAGGGCTCAGCAGTAACAAGGCTCCTCTTTTCCCTATGGTGTCAGTGGAGGCTGCGTTGTGGGCAGTAATAGGGCACTATGGTCTCTCAGCCAGGGTGGTATCAGTGGAGGCCCAGTGGGGAGCTGGAACTCCCACCCCAGCCAGCAGTAACAAGGAAGCTCTACCCACACTGAAAGCCAATGGAGAACTTGGATTTTTACCTCATCTGACAGTAAGCAGGTGCCACCTCCACCTTCCCCTGCCAGGATGGTATCAGAGGAAAGTAGCTAAAACTGCGTATTTAAACAAGACACGTAATTCTTATAACATAAGGCAAATAACATCAAGAAAGTGAGTATAGACACACTTATATCAGACAATAGATTTTAAGATAAAAAATGTAACAAGAGACAAAGATGGACATTTTATTATGATAAATAGAATAATACATGAAAGAAGACATGACACTTATTAATATATATGCACCCTACCTAAGAGCGCCAAAATATATAAAGCAACTACTAACAGAACTAAAGGGAGAAACTGACAAATACAATTATAGTAGGGAACTTAAATACTCCATTGACAGCAACGGACAGATCATCCAAAAAGAAATCAATAAGAAAATGTCAGCATTAAATAACACATTAAAGGGACATAACTGATATTTACAGAGCTATTCATCCCCAAATACCAGAATATAAATTCTACTTTAGTGCACATGTAATATTCTCAAGGATAGACCATAGTTTTGTTGGGACACAAAACTAACCTCAACTAACTTAAGAAGATTTAAATTATACCAAGCATATTCTCCAACCACAATGCTTTGAAATTGAAAATCAACTGCAAAAGGAAAGAAGGAAAAAACACAGATATGTGGAATTAAACATGATACTAAACAACAACTGCATCAAAGAAGAAATAAAAGAAGAGAGCAAAAGACACATATAGACAAATGAGAGTGACAACACATCAAAATTTGGGGGAGGGAGGAAACAAGATGGCAGCGCAGGTAACAGTTGCACCCGCTATCTATGAAACCACATCAACATTACAACTAAAATACAGAACGACCGTCACTCAGAGCCTCCTGAAATCTAGCTGAACAGAAGCACCACAACCAGGGAACCGAGAGCGGGAGGAGGGGAGGAGACGCGGGCGGGTTGGGGCTGAATCGCAGAGACCCAGCCGTGGGCCCACACCTGGTGCCACAGTTGAAACCCGGAGGGGGTCTCAGTGGTGGGGGTTTCCTGGAGGACGGAGGGGTCCCAGTCCCACAGCAGGCCCGCAGCCCAGGGCTCCAGGGCCGGGAAGAGAAGTCCCCACAACTCTGGGCTGTGAAACCAGCGGGGACTGTCCCTGAGGGTCGCGGAGGCTGGGGGAGCCCCAGCAGCTCCTCTCAAAGGGCAGCGCACGGACTCACTCGGACACCTTCCCTCTGAGCCCAGCGCCGGGAGCAGCCTGAAAGGACCTGGGACACTCGGGGAGGAACTAACCTGCCTGAAATCGGGCTAGAGGTGGAGGGCAGCTTCCTCCCAGACAGAAGAGCTGGCAGAGGCCATGGCTCCTTTGGCAAGCCCTCCCCCGACACAGCCAGCACGCAGAGGCCATATTTGAATCGCCAGCACCTGAATCACACCTTTGCCCCGCCCTGTGATTCCCCGAGGCCCCGACCCTCCCCACCTGCAGCTCATCCAGGCCATTTCCAGGGGCTTTTCTATGCAAGTGGCCTCTCCAGCCTCATGCTTAGGACTTTCCTAAAATCTCTCAAACAAGCAGCAGCGGGCCCCATA